GACATGACTAATAATAGTAATAATAATAATAATAATAATACATAATTAGTATTATATAATGAAACATGTTCTAGAGAAATTTGTCAGAAGAGCATTGCTTTTTTACAACCACATCTAGATAGTGGAAGCAAAACCATGTTGACAACATAAGATTGATGAAATCTTAGTAATTAAGGACTTGCAATGAGGATTTTTTCTTCAATTATAAGTTGAGGAACATTTGTTGCTTTAGCTTTCAATCCATAGTTTTCCAGCTATATTGTTTCAGAGAACTATTTAATATCAAGAATGAAGAGTTAATCTTTGTCTATGAGTTTTTACAGTTTATTAATGAACGTTTGATTTCAGGTACTATATACAGTAATTTTGTTTTGCCTTTCTCGAGTTTTTTTCCTGGAAGGAGACACTGAATTGTTTAATTTCAGACCAGCTTNTTCAGCAATACCAGCTAGCTACTCTATGTTAAACCAATAATTTTGCAGTAATGTTTTAGGTCATAAAAGGATGTCACACTAAAACACTTTACTGTAGGAACTTTCTTTGTGAAAAATTATGTTACATACTTTGAGTTTTTGCCTCTAGACTAAAGTTCAGTCTAAAACATATATGAACATAAAGCACTTGCTTGTTGTTGGTAAAACAAACAGTAGTGCAGTTGGTCACTAACAAGCCTGCTAAGATCACATGAGCTAGCGGTCCTACAATCCATTTGTTTTAGTCTAACTGTCTTGATAGGTTTCAAATTATGTCCAGATCAAACCAGTATTTCCACGTATTAATTAGGTGTATGTATTACTCAGCCAGTGAAAGGTATCTGGTTACCTTATTAATAGTTTAAAGGTCCTTATTTAGAAATGGTTTCCAATACTGCTTGATATACTATTTTTTTATTTACTGACACAATATGAAAAATAGGCTAGGCCAAATGGAAAGCCATGTTTCTTTAACTCTAATAATAATCAGAGGTGTCAAGTAACGAAGTACAAATTCTTCGTTACTGTACTATAAGTACACTTTTTAGGTATCTATACTTTACTCCATTGCTTATTTTTCTTCCTACTTCTGACTTCTACTCATTACATTTTCACGCAAGTATCTGTACTTTCTATTCCTTACATTTTTAAAACAACTGTTACTCGTTACTCTTGGCTTCGGTTTAATGTTTATAAATATTTATTTCACAAAATGTCATCCATGTCATTCACGTCATCCAATGCCTATCATTAGCGCCATCCACATCTAGTGAAAACTAGTGTAATTGGATGAGTCATATAATGCAAACACTCATTGGTTAGCTAAAGGAAATCAGAAGCAAGCAGGTGTTTTTCAAACTGCAAACGTGAATTGTCTATGCCATGCTACTATGTCGGATTCAGAAAAAGATGTTGAAATGTCTGAAAGGTCGGACACAGGCGAGAGCGTATCGGGGGACGGAGATGGAGACCAACAAGACCTCCCTCATCCTTGGCCCTATCTCAAAGAATTATTCGAAATAGTCAAAAAAATTGAGCTTTCAATTCATATAGTGGCATTTGGTTGTTTTTTCTTAAAGGTTATATACTTTAAGTCAGATGTCTTAAAAAGGGGTCCGCGACCCCTAGGGGGTCCACGGAGGTACTGAATAGGCGTTGCGAAAGTTTTGGTTAATTAGACTTTTTTTTACATTCCCCTCTACAATGGGCTCTATGCACAGCTCCACTACTTCCTGAATTTAAAGCAGCTCCTTTGTTTCCTGTCTTTCATGATTGGATGCACTGATTAATCCAGGTGTGTATGACCTAAGTAACTGGCCAGACACACCTGGATTAATCAGTTTTTCCAGTAATGAAAGACAGGAAACAAAGGAGCTGCTTTAAATTCAGGAAGTAGTGGAGCTGTGCATAGAGCCCATTCTTTCCACTAATTGAAATGTATTAAAATACACATTAACATGAATTCAACACACTGGAGTAGACGATGTCTTTCAGTCATCAATGCAAACATTCAGCGACAAATGCAAACATTTGATTTTTTCTTTTCTGCTTATGTAATCTGCTTAAGTACCTCTTTTTGGTATCCATCTTCGCTAACACAGGGTACGTAACGGTTATAGTTTTAATTGACGCTCTGGATTACCCATAATTCCAAGTCGTATTGTAAAAAATAAAATACTCAAATACATTGTTCTTTTAAGCTCTTTATTTCGGTTTGAAACATACATCGAGAGGATTCAGTTGAGGTGGCTCGGACATCTTCTTCGGATGCCCCGTGGACGCCTCCCTCGGGAGGTGTTCCAGGCACGTCCCACTGGGAGGAGGCCCAGGGNGAATTAGCTAAAAGGACTCATTAATCATCTGCCTGCCCAGCTAATCAAACTATCATCTATGCAGACTTCAGTGAACCCAACCCGGACCTGTTCCAGATCCAGTTCATGTTTTTGTGTGTCAATATCTTAAATAAACTCTGTTAAACTTTTACCCAGCCTCCATTGTGTTCTGCATGTGGGTTTAATATAAAACCAATCATGACAATTAATAGTTTAAAGGTCTTTATTTGGAAATGGTTTCCAATGCTGCTGGATATACAATTTTTTTTATTTACTGACACAATATGAAAAATAGGCTAGGCGAAACGGAAAGCCATGTTTAACTCTAATAATAATCAGAGGTGTCAAATAACAAAGTAAAAATACTTTGTTACTGTACTTAAGTACACTTTTTTGGTATCTATACTTAAGTCCATTACTTACTTATTATTCTTCATACTTCTGACTTCTACTCATTACATTTTCACACAACTATCTGTACTTCCTATTCCTTACATTTTTAAAACAACCATTACTCGTTACTCTTGGCTTCGGTTTAATGTTTATAGATATTTATTTCACGTCATGTGCGCCATCCAAAGCAGATCATTGGCACCATCCACATCTAGTGAGAACTAGTGTAATTGGATGAGTCGTATAACGCAAACACTCATTGGTTAGCTAAAGAAATCATCAGAAGCAGGCAGGTGTTCCTCAAACTGCAAACACGAATTATCTATGCCATGCTACAATGTCGGATTAAGAAAAAGTTGTTGCAATGGTTGTTTTTAATCGGTGCTCTGGATTAACCATAATTCCAAGTCGTACCGTAAAAAATAAAATACTCAAATAGATTGTTCTTTTAAGATCTTCATTTCGGTTTGAAACATATATGAATGTATTTGTTATCAACCGTCTAATGAACTATACAGTTATTAACATAGTAGTTAAAAGTACCACTGTCTGCTTTGCTATTGGTGTCGTGCTTGAATAGCTCACCATCCTGTTAAAATCTGACATGTTTTGGGATATAAATAAGGTCCGGTCAGTTGATTTAGTGTCAGCTGGGTTTGAGAGGAATTTTTCGTACCATTACATTTGCAAAGAGACGTCCTAGTTCACAATTGCGTAGGGGGCGTAGGGGGCCTACCAGGTGTCAGTGACGGAGCCCCTAAGAGGTTGGGTGCCCCTGAGCAACTGCAGTCTCTGCTTACCAATAGTTACGCCATTGACTCCATCTGTAATAGAGTGGCTATAGGACCAGTTTGATAAAACACAGTTTCATACAATATAGCCTATATAATTAGGGGGTCCCTGCTCCATCTCGCCATCAGTTTAGGGATCCTTGGCCTGGAAAAGGTTCAAAACCTCTGCTTTAAGTAGTTTTTGAAGCTGATACTTTTTCCCTTTTACTTGAGTAAAGAAGTCAAGTTGATACTTCAACTTTTACCAGAGTGTTTTTAAACTGCAATATCTACACTTCTGCTTAAGTAATGTGTGTATGTTTGACACGACTGATAATAATAATAATACATACCGGTAATTAGTATTATATAATGAAACATGTTCTAGAGAAATTTGTCAGAAGAGCATTGCTTTTTTACAACCACATCTAGATAGTGGAAGCAAAACCATGTTGACAACATAAGATTGATGAAATCTTAGTAATTAAGGACTTGCAATGAGGATTTTTTCTTCAATTATAAGTTGAGGAACATTCGC